AAAAAAAGAAAAGAAAGAAAGAAAAAGCTACTTCATAACATTTTATTAGAGACGAAATTTGGTAATCTTTAAGGTGTCCATGTGTAGAGATTCTAGTTATTTTCATGCAGAGAAAACATTACACATCGTGCGGTACTATAAACTTTCACATGAATTGCTGTTTGTCAATTATTTTTCCCTCTTTGTTTTTTTTAATATTTGTTCGGTGTGTTAATTTTAAAAAATAATTTTCTTCTGTGTTGGCTTTTGTGTGTGTGGTTCAGCGTAATGTCATTTAATTTTATGTTGTTCCTACCTTCTTAAAAATAAAAGTGTTATATTATATGAGAGTGCTTAGAGCGTGTCTCCACCATTAATAATAATAATAATTGCATTTATATAGCGCATATCCAAGCTCAAGAGCATGCTCTATGCGTTTTACACCTATTATTACCCCAGCAGACCCTCTGAGAACACTCAGAAACATTCTCAGCTTCCGCGGAAGCATGCAGTGCAAGCTGCGGATTTCACGCGCTCAAACACTATCAACCTGACAAGATCGTTCATTGCTTGTCTATAGCCGAGTACCCATTTCCACCTGGGTGAAGTGAGGAAAATATAAAGTGCCTTTCCCTATATGAAACAACGTCGGGCCCCTGACGGGATTCGAACCCACGACCTTACGGTTGCGAGTCCGAGAGCCTAACCACTAGGCCACCGACGCCAACAATACCGACTAGGCTACATACATGTACTGACAATGACAGGCCCCTTGTGTGTGATTCCATAATTTACATGTAATACATCATGTATCCTGTACGCCTACTTTTTCTAGAATTTCACACGTTTCGGGTTAAAACGGCCGATCTTTGGATTGGTGGACACGCGCCCTTATTAAGTTATTTTTTGTTAATTTTTGTCGTTGTTTCGTGCTGTTCTACTTTTGATTTCTTTAAGCTGTCAAGGCCACCCTACCACCTATGCCTAAGGCCCAGGGAGTTATCTCACTTACAAAGCAATCCCCAATGTCCGGATCGGATG